CAGTGGTCATGGGTGGTCTAGATATTTTAAGACACCTATGGGAATGTTCTCTTTTTAGAAAAAAAAAAACATGATTCAGTACCCTGACAATCCTGCTGATATTTATAAAGGCTGCAGTTTGAGAGTGCATACTTTTTTTTTTTAAGTTCTTGGTTCACCGACTGTATTCTTAACTACCTAAAACAGTCAGTTGTTATCTTAAGATAAAACCAACTTTCGCTTTAACCAGTGAAGTCCCGAGGAAACACTAAAGGATTGGACCAGGGTAAATCATAACACCTTTCTGTTGTAATTCATATATCATGAAAGTCTATGTAACAGTTCTTTTGTAATACCATATTGTGAATCATTAAACTATAGTAAGGAGCCAAGAGCACCAATCTGCACTGAGCACCATCTGTGAGGCCCTTGTAGACTCCAGGTGGCAGTGGTAGAGACCAGGCCTGAGTCTAACTGTGCTTTGTGACCCACAGTGCTCCTGACCACACTGTATCCCAGCTAAAGGGTGTAGCTCTGCCTGGGTCCTTTCAGTGTGGGCTAATTATAGGGTGTTACACCAAACACACCCAGTGATGTAATTCTATTGTGCAAACTGTACAGTATGTGTTGCTGTCAGTCCTCTACAGCACATCAGCACTATGGGACAAGTACTGTATTATTAAGTAATATATTTTCTCTACTGTATAAAATAGTGTCAGATGCAATGACTTCAGGTACAAAGGCTTTATCCTTGCTGTTGGCCACATGTTCCTTAGTTTGTGGATTAAAATTCTGGTAATGTTTTCAGATCAATGTTTTATAGCTGAAGCCTGACTTAATTTACAGTAGTGCAGTGCAGGAATATATAATGTGCTCAGGGAAAGGCATTTTGATGAAGCATCAGCCTTGATTTTTTTCCCAGTCCAACCCATTTAAAGATTCAAATTAAAAAATTCCTGTGTTTATACTCATCTTAACAGTTCTGACCAGAGTGCTAATGTAAATTAAATAACTGAAAATATCCTTTATGCGATCTTGTCTTTGCACCAGAGATTTTGCATTCTGGAAATTCTAACGCTTTCAAAACAGCATCCAGAAATTTTCATCTGGAGGGATGACCTGTTTTTTTCTGGAACATCCGATGAAGCACAGGACAGCTATGTAAAGAATCTGGTTTAAAAAAAAGTCTGAAACAATCCAGCTTTAATTACAGTATATTTCAGAGGTAGTACTGATGTTCACATCTGTTTATAACTGCAAGTACGAAAAAGTCTGAACTCCAAAGACAGATTAGAGACTCTGGAACTGGGTGAAGCAAGATCCTGTTGTTATTAAAATGAAACAAATTGAATACCTTGCAGATTCACGTTTCCACCGAAGATTTACAATCTGCAGCATTAGTGCTGATGCATAAAAAAGGATAGTGGGCTTACGCTCTTAAGTAAAGTTAAATATGCCTAATAACAGCATCATAGGATTTAAGACAGTTGATTTTTCTTTGTAAATATTTTGAATCTGAATAAAATTCCATTTGCTTTTTAAGATCTGCTGACAACTATGGTGTGCGGTGTCATGCCAATGTCTTTTTCTTACCTGTTAATCAGTGAGCACTGGTGTACAGTGTTTTCGAAAGCCAATCTACTCTTAATCGCTTAATGAATTGAGAATTCACATAATTTCATCATACCAGTGTGGTCAGGATGAGCTGGGAAATCATTTTTTTTGTTTTGAGCTCAGAAGGCTGGTGAAGTGAGAATGAGACTGCACAGTTCCTTCGTTGATTATTTAACATATTTTATGTATTTGATTTGACTCTGATTTATTTCATGATCAACCATTCTCAAAATGAAAAACCATAAATTACATTGGAGTTCTGTACACTGGTTACATTGCTTAGACCATCACCGAACTATTTTGAGCATATAATCTCATGCTGGTGTCAAGAATTGTCTTCTGTTGTTGTTGTTACACACATAGCCTAAAGAATAATATACCACAAGAAAGAGATGCTTTTGAGCTTTGTCAGACAAATAACTGCACATCTGTGGTCCTTGGCGTCTTTGCTATGGTTAAGGGAGTGCAGCCTATTTGATGAGAGATGCAGTTTGAGTTTCCTGGAAGTGATAACTTATTTATGATTTTTTTTTTTCCAAATAGCTTTCCGTGGAAATGGAAAATGGGTCGGATCATGCAAATGATGTTCAGCTGACCTAGTTTTTGATATGTGCCCCCAAAGAAAACACAAACCTTTCAGGGCTTATTCCTGAAATACTTTGTAATGTATTTTCTGAGTTCTTATTTTCAGTTTACTCTAATCTACATTACCCCCATACAGAAGATGTTGCTGTCTATAAAATAAGACATCCATGAATTCTATGAGAGTACTTAAATAATAGCACTGACAATTGTAGGTACAGAATGTTGGATATTGTTTGTCTCTGAAATTATTCTTTCTGCACAGGCCTTCTTTGAAAACAGTCATGTACTCTACCTGTATTATAAAGTGCTTTCTCTAAATTTTCCCCAGTGATAATCTCCAGCCTCACATCAGCATGCTCATGTCTTCTGTTATTGCATCTTGCATCTACAAAACAAAAAAAGACGCTCAGCAGAGTACAGTACTTATATAAATAGCTAAATGAAAATTGCATGTAAGAGTGTAATTCAAATACATAGTACAAAACTTTCATTCTAAGAAACCAAATTAGAAAACCACTCTAAAAAGTCAAAAATGCAAAAATTGCTTTGTATAGAGCTTTCATCTGTGACTCTCAAACATCCTACTGTTAAGTGCAAAATGTGGCTTTATTAATAAAACTCAGCAGGAAAACGCCTGCCCTCATGGCACTTTTGACAGAAATGTCTTTTAAATCCTCTGATTACCGTTTGTAGCATGAGCCTGGGATGGGGTGTGGCAGTTAAGGCCCAGAGAGCAGTGAAAAGATAGAAGTTTGTCCAAGTTGATTGAAAGGAGTGGTGCAGAATCCCCCAAGGACAGCTTCTGCAGCTAGGTCACAGATGTACAGCTAATCCTGGCCACACACACTACCAGCCTGTTGATCAATCCTGTTACTGACAAATATTAATCAGCATACAGAATTCGAGCTACATCATATAAATTCAATACTTGCTGGACAAAAGTACCTCAAACATACTGAGGGCATTATTAATAAACAATGCTGTTGGTACCAAAATACATTTTTTTGTATTTTTAATGGGTTTCAAGTATATAAATGGGGCCTAATTAAATATGCTGCCTGTTTTTTTTGTGGACAGGAAAGTCCAAACGAATGAGATAATATAACAGCAATAAAATGATTAATTTAATCTTGACAGAATGTTTTTGCTTTTAGGGGAATTTTAAATTGAATCAATTAAGTCAGGTTTACAGCAAGGACATGCTAATAAATAGAGATTACCAGTATGAGTGACATTCACTGATGTTTGCCTAATTATTTAACAGCTTAAGTGGAAGGATTTACCACAGTAATCAAGAGCCTGAAGTGATTCTGGAGGACTTGTGGAATTTTCTAAATGAATGAAAGCATTTAATTGTGTAATGGCTTTTATCTTATAACTTGAAAGATGTGTGGTCATTTGTGGCATGGTGAATCAAAGTTTAATGACTTTATAACAAGCTTGTGGTGAAATCCTAATGCCAGCTTTGATGTTCATTTTTGACCTCTACTAGTTTTAACTAGTGAAATTAACTCACAGATCTCTGTTGATGACTGAATGAGTTTAAATGCTTTTCAAACTAAACGCTCTTTAAATCAATAGTGAACTCAATATACGCAAGTGGTAAGCTAATAGATTGTAAGAACTTTTTGTTACAGAACAACATATACAATTTTTAAAGATCTGCAAGAGATGCATTAATTGTAAGACATTACCATACATCAGCGTCAAAGAGAGCACATTGACATTCTGCCCATTATTACAAGGGTGCAGTATTTATATTTGAAGAGCTGTTATTTTGCAAAACAAGATCTGTTATTAGTGGTTAGCAATACAGTTTATGGCCTTCAAATTTTAATTCTAATACATTTCTGTGAACCATAAATCCTAATTTGCCGGGGCAACAGCTTTTTAAAAATCTTTCTGTGTTATGTTACAGTCCAGTGACATCAGCTCTTGTAAGGGTTGAACAGGGTTGAAGTCACTGGAGGCTGTGTGGGCTGTCTTTTCTCATTGGGTTACTGGCGGCTTAACATGAGAATCTCATTCGACTGTTTCTTGAAGGATTTCAGAAAAACCACTTCCCCATGTTTTTATTCTTAATGTGCTTAGTATATAAGATGATGGCATTGCCCTGATTGCCACTGTCAATCCATCTGCTAGCAGGAAGTCACTTATCCTTCCTGGCGATGGTTGCGGTAGATGGGAGCCGGTCACAGAAAGGGCAAGGTGGGACTGAGGTGCCGTGACACTTCTTCCACTTGATGGGACGCCAGTCCATCACAGAGCACGGAAAGGGATCATCTAAATAACCGGCAAAAGGAAATAGAAGCACACTGTAAAAGAACTGTAAAAGCTTGAGCATCCTGTGTTAACCGTCTCTTTCATGGAAACTGATACCTGGGAGCTATTTAAATTTCTGCCAGCAATCTGTGGTAACGAGGGGTAAGACAAGGGGGTAGAACTGGGATAAAAGAGAGCAGACTCAGTGGCTGTTGAACTAGTGATTAATCATGCTGCTTTTTTGTCAACCTAGTTATTAAGTGATGAGGTTTATCCATTTTTGCAGATCACAGGCTGTTTTGTCTGCGTGAGAGAAACATTTAAATGCAAGTACTTTACTATGTTTCCTAGCTATGGAATAATCACAGGACAGTGTAATTTGGGCCAGGACCTATTTTGAGTGACAGCACTCCTGTTACTCCCGAGTCAGAATTACGTCTGTAAGTTTGTAAATGGCTGACCGTTCATGAGCTTGGAGAAGTATCAAGTGGAACTGACAGCCATCTCCATTGTGCTGATCGTGACCAAACAACATTAATGGCCCCCTGCCTCTCTTTCAGATCCCATGTCCAAGGACAATATTGAAGAGCTGAGGGAAGAGCAGGAGAAGGAGGAAGAAGACGATGAAGAACAGGGGGGGGGATTTGAGTTTGAGGATAGCTTGGACGAGGAGGACACGCTGGAGGATCCCCTGTTGAGGGAAGGCAGTGAAGAGCCTGGCCAGGGCAGTACCCCAACTCCAGAAGACATAGCTGGGGAAGGAAACCCGACTGTTCCCTCCATACCACCTCCTCAGAAAGACAAGGCCCCTGGAGATACTCCTAGAGAGCAAGGACTGGAAATCCCCTCAACAATCTTGCACCAGGAATCCAGAGGTGCTCCCCCTGCTGGACAGGAGGACCTAGGTGAACCTACATTATCTCTTCAGCCAGTCAAATCAGGTAAAGACTTTTATAACAACAGTTACTGTACATTTTTCTGATTTATTTTTGTATAATTTGATGCCATTTTCCAGACACCGGGCGCGATTTTGAGAAAATGTAATATAATTTTTAAATATATTTGTCTCATGTTTAGCAAGATATTTCAAAAGTCCTTTTAGTGCCCCCTTGATCATGTAGGTCAATGTGAATGTGACCAGTTTAACTGATGTCTTTCAACAGTGACTAAACTTGCTGTTTTATATTTGAAAGAGTGAAATGAATTTGTGTATTAATACATTCATTTAAATATATGATCTGTAACATAATGAAACCAAATGAGGAAACAGACAGAATAACCTAGATTTGATATTTTTGAGGGTCAAGAGTTAATCTTGAGTGCAGTTATTTGCACGAATGCCACTTCATCAGCAGAAACTAAGGAAGTAAACTTACCAGCACATCAACAGATCAAAATTGTGTTCCAAAAACATTTTTTAAAGGCCTTGAAAAAATCACAGTGTTATACAGTATCTGAAATAATTTCATAATGTACAGTATGTACAAGAAAATCAGTTCATACTAAAACAAGTGTTATATACATGAAGTGCTAGACTGACCAACGCAGGACCCTGGAAATTGAAGAATCTAATAATCTTTCAGCACACCTTCAGTTCAAAATATTTAACAGCTGTTATGCATTTTAAAAGCCTCTAGAGTCACAGTGGGAGTCCTTGAGGGTGAATATTTTTGGTTTGGTTTGGTAATATTTGCTCAGTTGGATAATAATTTTAATAATTTGGACCAGATTAATCCTGTTCTTCAGGTCTCAATCTGCTAATCACTTGGAGAGATTTAGAAACGTGGCTGGGTGGAGAACCAGTTTTATGGATATTTCCTTCTATCTACAAACCATTTTTCCTGCTTAAGAAATATTTATTAACACACATTGTTTTTATATTTGTGCAACTCTGTGGGAGATTGACTTTGCACGTTGTGTATTTGCAGACTTACTAACAGCATGCATGAAATCTTGCATTTCAAAAGGCTGTCAGCCTAAAGTCTTCAGTACTAACCGGATCATGGTCCGTACTGCAGGACTGAATTTCAGTGAGCCTTCATGTCAAACTGTCGGGGTATTTTGTTTCCAAAAACTGAGATGTCCAAAAACGGTATTGCCAAGTAGTTTAATTTAGATTTGTCCCCTGCCCACTAAATGAAATGCTGCTCCTGCTACTTTAAATGAATAATGTTTCTCCATGTTATTATGATTTAAAATAAAACTTGTGTAATTTATCCACAGTTTTTCAAAACTCACTGGGTGACTGAACTGTTTTAAAGGGCTGAGATTTTAGGAGTTCAATGTTTTCCAGGTTTTCATGTATCCATTACATACTGTACTCATTTGTAAAAGTGTATTATTTGTACAAAAAAATCCCAAATGTCTGCTCACTCTTGCTTTCTGCGGTCTGCTTCACAGGTTTGACTGGCAGTGAGGCACCACAAGGGTAAGACATTTTTATCTCTGTATTATTATTATTTGTATTTCTTGTTTTGCCTGACGTCAGCGAAAGGGACAAAGCTGCTAGATCCATTGAATGGCACTAAAAAGCGCTGTCTGATGTTCACAAACAGGACAGGATTGGAAGTGCATGACATTCAGGCCATTTTGCACTTTGAATCTGTCCTCAGATATTAAAGAATGGGTCTTATATTATGATAAAAGACATACCACACTGCAGGAGTGAGCTTAAAGAAAAATCATGGAAATGCCAGTTCCTGACACTTTGCATACTGATTCATTTGTACTGTACTCGTCTCCATCTACCTATACATTAACAGAAAACTGCTTAGTCCTGGTGAATGTGTGGCAGGGATAGGACACATGGCAGGCACTATACACCAGACTGGATAGTCTGTTGCAGGCTGCTCTCCCACACAGATGATTTAGAAACATTAATTAATGTAGGCAGCATGTGTTGCGGAGGCAGGAGTTTCGTACTCCACACATAAGAGCCCTAGCCTGCAATCGAACCCAGGACAACCAAGATCCGTGGGACAGCAGTAATAAGCCATCCTGTTACTGTGCCAGCATTTGTGCTTAACTCAATGGCAAGGAAATTACCTTGAAGAGTCATAGATACTGTAGATACTGCAGTGGCAGAATTATACATTGGTGATGTCACGGGAGTGGTGTCAGCTTTTTATGACACACAGAGATTGGATGCTGTCAAGAAGGCCAAAACACAAACTTCGTCACATGGCTAAAATGGCAGTTGCTGTAGTCATAAAGGTAGTTATTTTCACAAGATACTCCTGTTCCACAGTGACCAAATGCTAGAAGCATTCTTTTTCCTATCTTTTGGGGTGCAGTTTTAATGAAATGTCTAGGAATTAAAATGATGCATTTCAGCACTAGCTCCAGACTGATGTGCCGGTAGGGGCAGTTACAAGTTTCTCAGGAGGAGAAACCCTAAAAGGTTTCTAAGCAGCTTCTGTGTCCAGTGGTGCAGTGTGTCTCGGGGCAGTCATGCTGATGGGCTGGGGCTGAAACTGTGCCCTTCAGGTTTGCCATGCTCAGTACAGTAAGTGCCAGTGGGGGATATCATTTTTCCTGTGGGCTTTCCTGCACTTGGCAGCTCTGTGAAGAGGCTCTCTGTGCCTTTGGTATTTCAGATCTGCCTCCAGAATTTCTGCCGAGTGTATTTTCCACCTTCACGCCGATTCAGTGGACAGGGGTCAAGCTGTCTGAACATGCCGTAACACAAATAAAATACCTCACAGTATGGGCCACATGACACCTTAGAAGCCCACCACTCTGCTTTGGCTTTGTGCCAGAAAACAAGGATCCACACAGTCACTGGAGACCAGTTAATAAGACAGTTCTCAAACAACTTCACGTCCAACAGTTTGAACTGATTTTAAGAGGGCAGTTGGGTTGCTCCTGAAAATCAAGTGCTTCTTCTGCTCAGTTCTTTAGAGTTTCATGCTTTTAAGCGTGTTTCTTCACACCTTTTGGAGTCTTTTTCTGACCCAATCTGGATTTGCTGATTTTTTTATTGCGCAAACTGTTCTCTGGCAGCTACCCTCTGGCAGGTACTCACACCACTACACCTGTGCTGCTTGCCTTTTAGGTCACCTTTAAGCAAATGTGACCAAAGAGTGAATTCTGGCAAATATAACATCAGAAATCTTCTGTTGTTTTCACAGCTAACCAGTATCTCAACCAAACTTTACATCTTTATACTGTATTTCTTGTATTCTAATTGGTGTCCGATTAATTGTGTTATTATTATTAAATGTGATGTACATTGCTTTTTGAACTGTGCTATATGAGTATTTAAAATAAATATACAGTACTGTTCTTAAGCTTCAGTAGAAGTTGTACAAATGGGACTATTCTGCTTTTGGCTTAGTGAATATCATTCACAATATTTAGCTTCTACTGTGCAATATCATACCTTTATTTGAGGAATCAAATGATATTTTCAAGGTAATTTAAAATTCAATTTACAGAATTCGTTTTGAATTTTAAAAAATAATTGACAAAAACTGAAGCCTGTATTTGATTAAATTGCTCACTCCTCATCCCATATTTAAAGTTTAGAGAAAGGCCTTAAGAAAACTAGTGTAAACTCTATTTAGATTTTTCAGTAAATAAACTCAAATCTGCTCATTTAAAGGCCTTGTGGTTCTAAGATTTTTGCTTTTTAAAATAATTTTGCCACAACATACTGTATATTAAAAATTTTCCCCTGTGATATTAGTTAAACAACAGTGAAGGGCATTTCACACAAGATAGTTTGAATGAACGATTGAGATTTTTGTGCTTTGAAAAGTGAAGGCATTATTCAAGAATTTGCAGGTGCACGAAGTCAATATTCTTACTAGTTATTGACCAACTAGTTGGAGACACCTTTAAGGTTTATACACAAACTGTTTACCAGACTTTGCAATTGCTGTGACAGTCTTGTCTGCTCCATTTCTAGCCTGTAATTAATCTTTCAGAGGATGCTCGACACCGAGCTGTTTTGGGTCTACGTCAGATCACTATGATGCACTGATTTTTGGAGGACATTGATTTTAAGAGCCGTTGTAGATTTGGAGTTTGTAAATCATGCTTTTTAAAACCAATAGTTGCAAGCCCTGGTTATAACACTGAGAGTGATACACAAATCATGAAGTGTGGTCCACATCTTAATAAAATAGTGATGTTTTCCTTTAACAATCTCACCAATCTAAAATATGTGTTCTCTGCCTCCTGGCCATGTAAACAGGATTCATGTGGGGATTTCCAGAGCAAGGACATGTTTTACACTTACGTTAATGTAAAGGTTTATTTTAAGAATTTCAGATCACTGGGTTTAGTGTGACCTGGAAATGTTGGCAAGGATGTGGTTACAATAGTGTTTGATTGCTCTGGGCTCCATTAGTTTGATTCTGAATCTGGCATATTTCCCAGTTGAATCATGAAAAGTATTCATTTCTCTAAGGCCAAATAGTTAAACTACTTAATAAAAAAAATGGGACATTTTAAGACAGGGTGCATTATCAGTGATATATTTTATTTATATATAACGTATCAGTGATTTTTAAGCCACAGAAAAGGAAAAGGAAATTAAATACCATGTGAATCCTCTCCATATTGTATTGATTCATGCATTATTAATACTTTAAACAAATCAAAAGCCTGAAACACATTTTTTCAGACATTCTCTGGGCCCCCATATAGAAAATCTAATTTAACCAGCCAGCTTTTCCAAAGTCTATTGAGTCTGCCGACCACTTATTAAGACCATTTCATTTTGGGCTGTACCCAACAGTGGGCTGTAAAAAACAGTACCAGGGGGTTTGCCCTCATTGTGCATTTGCGTCATTTAGCTGCCAGGTGGCACAATGTGTTAAATGAATAAGACATTAAGAGGGTTTTGTCTTGCTAGAGTGGCAGCTGGACTCGAGCTGTAAGTGACAGAGGCCAGACCTGTTTTTCTGATGTGCGTGGGCCCTTTGGCAAGAGGATGTCAGGCTCAGAGCTGTCCCACAGGCCAGGGCAAGCTGAGACACAGCCACTCCTGGGAGAGTCCCAGGGGCGACTGTTCCATTATCTCTGCACTCCTGCATGTACAGCACCTGTATGACAAACCTTTGGAAGTGAATGAAAATGCTGTTAAATATTGCCAAATATTCAAATAAAGTAATGTGTATATAAAGTATAAATATAAAACTTATAAAGTAAGTTTTATACATTTAAAAAAAATGGTGAAGATATTTCTTATACCTCTGACATTAATTGCATCTGTCAGATGTTTAGCAAATGCCTTTACCCAAAGAAACTTGCTTTAAATAATTACTATGATTAAAATATCACAATTTACTTAGGGCGATAAACATGCATGTGCAACTTTAAAGAGAAATCAAATTCAGTTCACAGTAAAACGTTCAGTAAGATATCAGCCTCTGATGAACCACTTGAACACCATGGAGTAAGCAGGTACTGTATTTGTATAGTTAGTGGAAGTGCAGTTTTCCTTTTGTGTTCTGTGAGCATTTTTAAAATCTGGTAGCTGATATTCAATATGGTATCCAGTGCACAGATCTGCAGGTGACCCAGAAGTAAAACATTTCTCTCTCTTCTGAAATTAGCATTAGAAAAATGTGTAATTGGAAACATGTAAATATACTGTACAAATGTCACCGGGAGACTAATTTTGAATGTCTTCTGCGAATCATAAAGTGCATAAAGAAAGGGAAGGTTTTATTGAAACCTATAAATTCCGCATCAACCTTTTAAATCATCTTGCCAGTCTGGCACCACAGTAGGAATGCTGGCAGGGTCTGAAGGCAGACCCTGGGAGCTGATCATACCAGCCGCTTCCACTCCTCAGCTCTGTCCAGTGGTATGGGTGGAAAGAAAAAAAAAGGATTTAACGAAACTCCTCGAATACGGAGAGGAGAGTGGTTTGGCCAGATGTGTGACATTTTAAACGCTCCGCAGGCAGAAAAACATCACTTTCTTTCTTTTTTTGCCCCGAAGAGCTCTGTCTTTCACAGTTTCCCAGAAGAATTGCGTCATGTGACGTCAGGGAAACCTATAGATACCATCATTGTTAGAAGGATCAGTTCTCTCCCAGGGCTTCGGCATGTCAGGGGTTAACTCACACGCTCACATACTCCTCTTTGCCCCAGCCCTTCCCATGGTGCTGCTAAATATTCATAAGATCACTGTGGTTCGCCTTGCCTGCCACAGCAAACACACAAGCACTCCTGACTAATAACACGGTTCTGTGTTATTGGGCAGAACGCTGGGAGCCAAATACAAGATTATGAGCTAGGAACCTGCAGACCCTCCTCACCTGTGGATTATTAACCCCCCCCCCCCCCATCATGAAAACAGCATGTAGTGGAGGCACGCCTGGAGAGGCAGGTAAATAGCAGCCATATTACCCTGCAACTCACAGCTGGCAGCCCACTGAAGCTCAGCAGGTATGAGGCTGGTCAGTACCTGGAGGGGAGACCTCCTGGGAAAAACTAAGGTTGCTGCTGGAAGAGGTATTTGTGGGGCCAGCAGGGGGCGCTCACCCTGCAGTCTGTGTGGGGATGTGGGGATACTATACTGTAAACAGGCGCCGTCCTTCGGATGAGACGTAAAACCGAAGTCCTGACTCTCTGTGGTCATTAAAAATCCCAGGGCGTTTCTTGAAAAGAGTAGGGGTTTAACTCCAGTGTCCTGGCCAAATGTCTCATTGGCCCTTACCAATCATGGCCTCCTAAAAATCCCCATCTATGAATTTTCTTCATTACTCTGATGTGTGGTGAGCGTTCTGGCGCACTATAGCTGCCGTCGCATCATCTAGGTGGATGCTGCACATTGGTGGTGGTGGAGGGGATCCCCATTACCTGTAAAGCGCTTTGAGTGGAGTGTCCAGAAAAGAGCTATATAAGTGTAAGCAATTATTATTATTACTATAAAGCTGCAAGTCTGGGCTAAGAACTTCAGAGAAATACACACTGACTTCAACACAGCTTTGAGTGGAGTGTCCAGAAAAGCGCTATATAAGTGTAAGCAATTGAAATTGAAATTGAAATTAAATTACTGGCCTGAGGGGAACAGGTCTCTCCGGGAGGGGTCTGTGGTCACTCCTAGCTTGTGCTACTGCCAGAGCTCAGCAGACCAGAGGCCCTTACAAAGTAACTTTTCTGATAGGGGAAATTTTGTCATCGTGTTTTGTTGCCCGTGCATTTAAGTGGAAGCTTAAAATGCATGTATCAGGTGCTGAGTGACTGGAGCTCTCAGAAAGTGGTCAGAAATCAAATGGGGTGTCATCTGTGGTGCAGTTAAATTTTTTTCATTTTTTCAGCTGCAGTTGTGTTGTAACTGTGCTGCAAATAAATTATCTCTAAGCACATGGGGCAGATGGCTCCTTGTCTCACAGTAAACACACTGTTGGTAATTGTGCTGATGACAAGCCATCTACACTAATTGTTTTAAATAGGTTCTGTCAGCGTACCTGTGATCAGTTTTAACATATTTCCATGTTGCTTTGCAAATTAATTTAAGACTATCTACATCCCAGAAAAAGGGAAAAGGAAAATACAAAACAAACCTTAGCAATGTGTAAAAAAGGGTGGGTGGGACAGTATTTATCATTCCTGCCTACAAAGCTGTGCCCTCAGGTTCAATTCCAGGCCTGGGATGCTGTCTGTGTGGAGTCTGTATGTTCTCCTCCTCTTTGCATCAGGTGTCTCGGTTTTCTCCCGCAGTCAAACCATACTGGTAGGTTAGTCGGCTTCTGGAGTGAGTGTGTGCATTTGTGGCCGTGCGCCCTGTGACGGACCGGAGCCCTGTTCAAGGTGTAACCCCACCTTGTGCGTGTTGCTCCCTGGGATAGGCTCTGATTCCCCTGTGACCCTGAGTGCATTATTATTACAAATTCGGATATGTTCCTTAATTGCAAGGATGTGGTCAGATAAGGAATACTATAGAAAGGGTGTGGGAGTATTGGCTTGTATACCAAAAACTCCCTGCCTGATATGTGGTTCACTGATATGTCACAGTGGAGGTCTGCTCTTATCCGGCTCACTGTATCAGAGCATACAGTACAGTCAGTTTGTCTTACTGGGCTCTGTCCCCTGAGCCAGCCCAGGCAGCCTTTATCATTGGAATTCTATTAAGATAACATTAGTGCCAGAACTAGAAGCACAGTAATGCTTTTCTTTATAAAGCACCTGTGGCTGGAAGGTCGCTGGTTCGTATCCCACGGCTGGCAGAGGAATTCTACTCCGTTGGGCCCCTGAGCAAGGCCCTTAACCCCAACTGCTCCAGGGGCACCATATAAATGGCTGACCCTGCGCTCTGACCCCAAACTTCTCTCCCAGTCTGTGTGTCTCATGGAGAGCAAGCTGGGGTATGCGAAAAGACACATTCCTAATACAAGAAATTGTATGTGGCTAATAAAGTGATCTCTTATATGGTTTTAGGATGGAAGTTGAAGAAAAGCAGCAGATATTTTCTATGACAAATCACGAAGTCACGAAGACATTACAGACCTTACCACCTCCATTGCAATCACCAGTAGTTCCATGTGGGACAATATCAGGATAAACTGTCCATAAATTCAAGAAGAGAGTCGAATCCCTGCACTTATATACTTTATAACCTGTATACTAACATTCTAATATACCCTGGCTTTTATATTTTTAAAAAGTGCTGACAACGCTCTCTTCACTGTACCTGCTGGTTAATTTTGCCTCCTTCCCTGCAACATGAAGCACAAATTCAATTACCTTACCCACGTTTAGCCTCATGTCATATTATGATCTGAGTGGGGAGCAACTGTAGATCAGTAGTGTATGAGCTGCAAAGAAACAAATGGGTGTTAATTCCACACAGAAAAATAGAAAAACAAAACACCCAAAGAAAGCTCAACAACCAGGATGTTTTTTTTTCTTTCAGCTTTTTTATTTCTTGGAATCAGTCTATCATATGATTATTTTGCATGTTGAGGGGCCCTACAATTAGTATTGTCAGTCTATTGCAATTAGGCTGCATCTTGAGGGACCGCCTGTAATTAATAAAACAAATCTGTGGGGAGGTGAACTAGTCAGAGATAATGCTACAGATAACTACTGTCAGTGGAGTAAGTGTCACTGTAGATGACTCATTTGAATCAGCCTTTTTGTTTGCTTTTGTTCATGTATCATTGTTATTCTTTAATGAATTCGTTTCTTGTGCATTAAATGATAATCTTGCAAAGAGAAAGGTGAGTGGGAGAAGGTGTGATGCTGGAGTCAAGTCCATGTTTAAAAGCGTAGCCTTGGCCTTGCCAGTTAAATGTGTTTTAAAAAGGGCTGGTGGTCCTTGCAGTTGCACATTGTCAGCAGTCAGTCTGTGTTCCCTTGAGTTAAGGTGAAATAATTTGAATATCATCCTTGGCATCACCATTAACACAGCTGTTTCCTGACAGGGTATCTGGTTTCAAGCAGAGAAGCTGTTCAGGATGAGGCTCTTTTGTCAGGTCATGTTACCTCAGACAGCAGGAAGTAGTCACTGTAGTTGTTTTGACTTGCAGTGTAGTACAACCACATTTTTTCTTGCATGGTATCTCGAAACCCGAAAGTTTAAAGAGTCTGTGAGGACTCACCCATGCCCATATCCAAATTGTCGTGGACAAAAGGGTTCGGCAGTTAAGAAAATGGCGGATAAATTTAATTTGGTCATTTGTAATTATGCTAAAATAAATATGCAAAATGAAATATTGACATTAGAGACCCAGCTTTGAAATAAAACTACCAGGTATTACTTCACGTGCATAATTTACAAACATAATGTACAAGCTAATTCATTCTGTGATCACAGTATCTGGGCCAATCCACTTCTCTTCTGAAACCCATTTGTTTCATTGACGATTAGCATGACTGAATATGCCACTGTAGAAACAATTTATAAAAATAGATTTGAACGCATAATAAAATATATAAAGTGGGAGACACTATCAGAAGAACAAGAAAGTAATATGTTCTAATGTTCTAATGAGCTATTACTTGGTAATCAAGCCTCACCAAGATATCTGCAAAATGTGGAATAAGAATTGTTAGAACAGCCACCAAAATGCTTTGTTTACAGCAGAATGATTTGGCTCAAGAAATGAGAGGAAATTATGTACAGTGAGATTACCTTTCACTTTAGTGCAAAACCTGAGAGTGCAGTCAGATGCTTCCTTTCATCTTCAAACTATGTTTGATTAAAATCTGTTGCTACATATCTGCAGGGTAAAAAAACGATCCAGAAATATTAGAAAAGCTTTTTGCAGTGAAGTCAAGTGAAAGCTTATTCAGTTATGTCAGAGACATTACAGAACATCTAATAACATAATGAATCAGGGCAAAAGTGTGGTAATAGTATAGGAAATGTCCAATATGAAATTACCATGGCAAAATACTCCAGTAAATTAAAGGAAGGTGTTTCTGTATGTCAGAATGATTTTAATTAGAAGGAATCAGTGAACACAGCTGTGTGGGAGGGCATGGTCTTGCTTTTTATATGATCAGTTCTTGTGCTATATTCTGTACTGTTTTTCTCAGATAGCCGCTGTATTGATCTACAGTGGGGAGCATTCTGTACTGACCTGCTTTATTTCACCTGGGAATAAACAGCCCATAGAAAGACTCTGCTCTGATCTCCATGACAGGTAGTGATTGCTCAAATCAAGCCTCCACAAGTGTGGCATCTTCTAACAGCTACTGTACTCTCTTCCTGTTCCAGGGTATCTGCTTCTGCTGAGCCGAGCACACCGGTGTACTCAGTGCTGTCTAGTGACAATGTCGTACAGACATCCTGGAAGAGGAACAGCATTTACGAAGGTAAGGCATGTCTTGGCTTCTTAATGATTCTCACCCTCTGTGGCAAATGTGTAGGAGCTCCCAGTATAATGGATGGACTGGAGTAAAGGTGCTAATGTTTAAATATTTAATTTTCCTTAATCTGATTGGCACTGTCTGTGTTTCGAAAAGGAGATGAACATTCTATAGTCTGACTATTTGATATTTGTGTTTTCTAATAGAAAGCTAAGATACTATTTATTGTTGGAATTGTAGAGTCAATAACTCAGACTTCTCTATCCATTCTTGTTCATAGAGAAAGCTTTGATCACAAAATGGAACAGCACTAAGAATCAGATTATCCTAAATCAACTGAATGTATTTCATTTCACTTATATCGCCACGGCATTTGTCACTCTTCATAAGGCAGTTCCAGCCCTGGAAATGTTCCAATCAGACATCTGTTGTTGATGTGAAATGTGCCAGTTCACAACACATTTGTAGATTTCTGGATCTCACAAAAGCGTTCTGACATTGTTTAAGGTATTTAAGCATAAGAATGTTTGCAAATGAGATGAAGCCACTGGGCCCATCTAGCTGGGTTGGCTACTAGTGGCATGGTCCAAGATTCTCTTCTGGCTTTTTATTCTTGAAAGTAGCCAGGTTACTGTCTTTGACAACCTGGAAAGCTTCTTCTACACACGTTTGTAACAAAAAACACCTCCTGGTTTCAGTTTAAAATGTACTGTACGTCCTTGTAGTTTCCATTTGTGTTTTTTGATTTGTAGTTCACTGTTGATTCTGAAGAACTTTGGTAATACCTTTGGTTTCGGATATTTGAATAATGTCCCCTCTTAGACTTCTCTGTTCAAGACTAAAAACTCAGCTCTTATAGCCTGTCAGAGTAGGACATTCCTTTGAGCCCAAGAATATATATAGTATGTTGACTCTTCTCTTGATTCCAGAGCAACAAATATCTTTTTTGCAGCATAAATGACCAGTGTTGTACACAATATTTTTCTGATCTTATGGATTTAAATTCTGGACTTTCAACTACAAATCCTAATCTTCTGTTTGCCTTTTTATTTGTTTCCCACATTGCTTAGAAGAAGAAAATGACACACCCACATAAACCCATAGTTCAATTCTAAATTCAAGATATATTGGTTCTTAAATTGTTAAAATGTTTTTAAAAACCACACTCATTGAAGTTCTGATTTCCCCTCAGAAACTTAAGATGCTAAGATTAAGTATTACTAATAATCTGCAAATTTTTCTTTGTTTTTGTTGTCAAAATGGCAGAGCAGTGATTTCAGACTCCAGTCCCCGAGTGCCTCAGGCACTTTCGTGTCATTCCAAGCTCAGGTCTCCATGTCTTCATTGATCTGAACATCTTCTTTTTTGGGAAATATTCCTGTTTTTAGTATGAAAATATTTTTTCATTTTTATTGTTCAGCGTACGGTACCCATTTAATGTTATGGAGCCAGAGGTAAGTGTTTAGCCTGTCAAGTCGATCGTATCAAGAACCAGTCGTTACAGTCCATCCCACCGAAAACGTAACCTAAATCGAGACCCTGTGGGAGAGCTTTGCTGTCAAAAAGATGCTGCTTCAGCGATCCAGGGAAATCAACAAGATTTCCTAGTCGTCTGCGACAAGGTTTCCTAGCTGTCCGAGGCTCTCCCACCCAGAAGTGTCCTGAATCCCAGCTCTGTTTTTGTCCGTGACACCCACAGGTTTGCAGTCTCCGACCGAGTGTTACTACAGATTCTTTCCCGTGGTAAAGGGGGCTGACTCCACACCGGGACGCGCAGGTTTGTGGCCAGTCCGCGCTGCCTTTAATCGCAAGCTCAATCATGACTGGGAATCCTGGTGGCAGTGGCAAGTGGCGTAGATCTGGGAGTGGGTTATAAATGCGCTTAGCAATGGGAGACCAGGTGTCGGCTTGCGTGCAAGAACTTTGCTTCACCACGACAAGGCTGGTGGCTGCTGTCCGAAAGCACAGCTATTTTGTTTCCTTCTAGTCGCGGAGAGCTACAGTTCCTCTGATTTGACTCCATCGGGAAAGTCGTGGAAACTTATGGCACAAGTCCAACTCCTGTCCTTGAAGACTGATGTGTCTGCAGTGTCTGCAAAAGCACCTGGTCCAGATAGGCCATTAATGAGCTAATGCAGGTCATAAAAGAGCTAGAATTTACCCTGCAAACAGACTGGCGCTCCAGACCCAGAGCTGGACTAACCTGAGTTAAGTCAGTCACAGCTCAGATAGTGTAGATGTAAACCCAGGAAACCCACTGGAAGTGTATGTTTCCAGTATAGGAGATGGATTCCCACCCCATCATAAAGGTTTTCAAACATGATCAAACATTCATTCCAGACTATTTCCGCTCAACACAGAATAATTTGAATTTTTGTTGTATATTCATAAAAGGTCTATACATATTTTGCATTGTGCCAATTGCCCAAGATTAATTGATTTAGCAATTGCAAAGTGCCTGAGCCCAGCAATAGCTTCTCACCTGAGGGTGTGTGGGGACTACATTGAGTCTGTGGAGTGGGCAGGTCTCTAGGATGTGCTGCGTAGTTTGCTCCATCTCACAGGAGAAAAGAGAACTGGCGGGACATGGACCCTGACCAGTCCTTTAGCATTTCAAGGGGACCACTCGTTTCTTGGGAGGTGAAAGCCGAGCGGTTGTTGAGTTGGGCATGTGGTGATGTTGTTTTTTAAGTGCAGGGCAATAGCTTTGATGGAAGAGTTTTTAGCTAAACATTGTAAAATCTGTCAGCTCAGACTTGTGCTTCTATCACGGAGAAGGCAGTCAGTACTGAAGCTCTTCCTCCAGGTGTTGGTTAAGCAGTGGATCTCACAGGCTTGACCTGGTCTGCTGCCTGTCTACTTCAGCACACGGTCCACATGTCCAAGCAGCCTTAGCTGGACTTAGGTTTCCTGGTCAGAAGCTGCCCAATGGTGAAGAAACTAGGGCAGGATCCGTAGAAGAACAGGTTTAGATGATCTGAGTTTTGCAGAAATCTGCGCTTCAAAAGTGTTATTGCCTGTGAAACGTGAGTGGCATACAGTACACCAGCCTTTTCAGCTGGAGGCCTGTGTGTGTTATTCCTATTGCAAAGTGCTGTAATACTCAGTGGTAATTATATTGTGATAAGCAGCCCCTAAAGACAAAGTGATTTAAGTAATCAGCCATAATTGTTAAAGATTAACCTTGACAGCTGAAGCACCACCTACAGTTTTTGAAATATTTGGTACAATGTCTTTTTCACCATTTAATAATGTGATTATTAAAGTAATGATTAATTAATTGAAGTATCTGAGAGATTAAAATTAAATTATCTCTGATTATAATAGAGTGCTTAGCAGTTGACCTTTTGTGACTTCAATGAATTAACTTTATGACTTGATTAAAAACACAAATTAAGTTAATGGTTTAAGGGTGACACGTCATATAATCCAATATATTCATGACTGTTGTTGACCATCCAAAATGTATTAAAAAAAATATTATTATCTATCTCATCTCTGTTGTTGAGGTATTTCTGGCATTGATTTACAGCTCAGGAGTCCTTTTGAATCCATCCGTGTTAGAAAACCTGATCCAGGTTATGGCTGCTTGAAGTTTTTCAATTTTGTATTTAAAAAAAAAAATCAATAGCTAATTGTTTTTTTTTCCTCACCTCACAAAAGCCCATGTTGCCAATCAGTCTTAGTTAAACTCTGTGACCCTTAGACAGGTCTGGGAGAGATACAAGCTATGCACACTAAACAGGAGTCTTCAGAGGAATCTGACACAATGAGAGTCCACATTGATTGCTGTAGCACTTCATCTCAGAAAGACTGTTCTGTGAC